TTCATCAGGCTCAGAATGACACAGTAGTGAAGTATCAAACACCTTAAATAGACATTCGAGTGTGAATTAAAAAAAAACAGGCCCCTCCCTCAGAGGCAGCGTCAGCACCAAGCCCATTCCTGCCATAGGGTATTCGAAAAATTACTAACCTGGGGGTAATCAGATGTGCAAACGGCGCGCAAGTGAGTGTGGGCCGTTACTCAGAAGGCACGGGTGGTCGCCATGGTAACCCAACGCTATGTCGGCACTTTAGCGCCGCCCCTCGTCGTGTTTTTTTTGTCAAAAGAAAATGCAGGGGCATTTCAAACACACCTGTTGTCTATGTAAGCCGGTCAAGTCGCTGTGCTGTTATTATTATTATACAGGATTCATATAGCGCCAACAGTTTGCGCAGCACTTTACAATATAAGGAAGACATTACAATCACAATACAATTCAAGACAAGATGGTAAGGAAGGCCCTGCCCATGAGGGCTTACAATCTAAAAGGGAGGGGCCAGTGATACACGAGTAGGTAGCTGTGTGGGCATGAATTGTCTGAGAACGTGATGGTTGAGAGTTTAGGTTGTGGTGGGGTAGGCTTCCCTGAAGAGATGAGTCTTAAGGGATCGCCGAAAGGCATTTAGAGTGGGAGACAGACGGACAGGTTGGGGTAAAGAGTTCCAGAGGATGGGAGAGACTCTAGTGAAGTCCTGGAGGCGAGCATGGGAGGAGTTGACGAGGGAGCTGGAAAGCAGGAGGTCTTTTGAAGAGCGGAGGGGGCGGTTAGGATGATACTTTGAGACATGGTTTGAGATATAGCCGGGGGCAGAGTTGTGGATGGCTTTGTAAGTCATTGTTAATATTTTGAATTTTATCCTTTGGGCTATTGGAAGCCAGTGCAGAAATCGGCAGATGGGGGTTGCAGACACTAAGCGGTTGGTCAGGTGAATGAGTCTAGCAGCTGCATTCATGATAGACTTAAGGGGGGATATCCTGTCTAGAGGCAGGCCAATGAGGAGAGAGTTGCAATAGTCAAGACGAGAGATAAGTGAGTGGAGTAGTAATTTAGCAGTTTCATTGGTGAGGAAGGGGCGTATTTTCTGCTGTGATGCTTTTTACAAGGGACAATATGAGTTAATGTTAGCCAATGATGATGTGTCTTTGTTATTATGATTATAGTTTGGGGTGCACAAATTACAGAAATGTTACATTGAGAAAAATCACAGAAAAATATTATGAATTACTTACTAATTAAAAAAATAGTTTTTACTGTTTATTTCCAAAAACAAAACCCAAGAAAATACAAATGTATGAAACCAAATTTGCTACCACAATGTGTCCCATAAGAAAGAATGTATAACACGTTGGGGTGTGATGGTGCGGCAGGTTCGTTCCCACAATCCTGTTACCAACACGTGATGATAGGCAGTTCCGATCCTACCGTGCAATCACCAACACGTAACGATACAACTCTCAGCTTGCAGGTCAACGATTCTAGGCCAGCAGACTGAGAACAATCATCACTGGGGTTTGGTTAACTTCACAGTTAGCCCTTTACACAGAATTATAGCTTATACTGCATGTTTTAACAGAAACACGCACCGTTCCCAGCAAATGTTGTGACAATTCAAAACTTAAACAGTGCCTGTGATACCCACTGTCCCTTCAGACGGGAATATGACAGGTTTTAGAATATGGTAATGCTCTTCACAAAGGTGAGGTTACTTTAAGTTATTATTTAGATAATAGAGATAAACTTAATGATTTCAAAAAAAGGAAATGGTGCAAGAAAAATATACAGAAAATGATGTTACAAAAGGAGAGACAAATAAAATAACAGTAAACAGAAAGGGAATAAGAATATAAGTACTGAGCAAAGTCCTGAGTTCTACGAGTCCAGCAGAGTCCAGTCAATGAAACAGAAAATGGATCCGGGATGGGTTTTCTCTTGAGATAAGGCAAAGGTTCGGTTCTTGATGTTAATGAGAGACTTTTCTTGATGGTAAACAAGAGCTTTTCAGCTGCCTTGAGCAGCAGGTTTTTGTGGGCTCTCTAGGGGGTGTTACGGAGCCAGCCCCCCCCCCCCCCCCCCCCAATCATAAAGATTTAGGGAGGTGAAGCAGGAAAGCTGATACGTTTTATGATCTCTTCACCTGCCCCTCCCAAACTGTCAGTTTCATAACTATAGCCATATTTTCAGCTCAGTGGATCTCAATAAGTTCAATTGTCAGCTCAGTGCATTTCTGGCAGGATCAACATGTGTATTTTGGCACTTATCGAACAGATATAACAAAACACTTTAACGACACCAAAAAAAAAAGTGGTTCATTCTTAGGCGTTACATGCACTTCAACTGGTTAACCGTGCTATGTCACCATGATGAAAGATTACTAAGTTACGCAGTGTACGTTAGATGGAAGGCTGAAGATAATACTTAGTAGCAGAGGATGGAGGAAGTAGATAAGACTATGTGACCTATACAATCTCTAAGATGTGAGAAAGAAAAACAACAGACTGAAGTCATTTTACATTTATGTAAATTTGAAGCATTTTATGTGGGTATTATTGTGGCAAAAAAACTCATGTTGTAAAGTAGTCACCGGAACAATCCCTGCGTTCTGGGGTGGGAGGGGGCATGTTGGTGCATTCAAGTCAATGGCACTGCAGCCACACACACACCGCCTTTTTACTTGAATGTAGCGCCATGCCCTCTTCCACCCCAGAGCGCAGGGAGCCGACCAGGATGCAATCTAGTGCGTTCCAGCAGCTAATCGTGCTGTAATGCACTGAAGATGGTGCGAACCGGCCCTTAGGAACTAGAAAAAGTGAGATCTGGGATCACAGTGAATTATTCTAAAAAAGATCACTGTAAAGAACCTGGGCAGTGAACATATTAAGACTTAATACACATATAATACCCCTCAATACAAATGTCTGACATCTGTAAAGGTGACATAAAAACAATGAAAACGTGCAGCCCTGGCCAGCCCTTGCACTGGTGGTAAGGAAAAGGACACCACATTTCATCTTATTGTATTTTTATATGATACCGCTGTTATCAGTCTGTTTCCTTTACTGCTGTTCCATCTGTTTAAACAATACTTCCCTGCAGGGCTCACTGGCGTTTGTTTCAAACAAACCCATACATCTGTTATTGGTGCTTCGGAGATCTGTGGGTCCAGGTACGAGTGGGTAATCGCTGCAAATGGTAGAACCCATCATTTACCAAATGGGGAAGTGCTACACATGCAGCATCTATAACAGTTGTTGTCAAAGCACAAAAATACATCCATATGCAGCCGATCCAAAATTTTATGTACATAGCCAAACCATCTCTGGAGATCACAGAGCGTCAAGGACTGGTATCAATCTGCACAATGACCACATTGGACCAGCATCCAGATATCTGTTTGCTGCCACAGGGTTCTGTGTATAGCCATTTCATTATCACCATGTGAGACCTTTCCATTTATTTATGCTGGGCATGTAAAAGGCATGCATGGAAGTCCACTTATTTTGATATTATATAACCATATGCATGGCATTACATTATCTATACAGTCAATCCACAGTTTACTATTACTGTCTGATGACCGATGTCCCTCTGCCCATGTGTGACAGGGTTATGAGACTTTCTAACATTCACATTCAAGAGGAGGTTCTGTGCAGTGCACCTTGTATAATACAGCACCAATCCCTATCCAAGTGACCAGGTGTCACGTACCGTACTTCGGGAAGGTAAGTTTGGATCACAGCTGCGGATCTAACCGATGGTTGAATATGCGGTGTCAGGCTTAGATCCCAGGCGGCTCTCTCAATCTCAAGCGGAGAGTTTGGGATCTAGAAATCATATGCCGCGTAAAGGAAAAAAGGCAGGATGCACTTATCTGTGGAATATTACTTCATATTCTTTAGACATCATAAATGGGAATGATATTGAGGAGCAGGCAAATACAAAGGCAGTCTGTATGTGGTTGGTACAATAGCAGTAGTAGCAATCCAGTTAAACACTATTAGCATGGAAATAGTGAGGCATGTATAGCTAGCCTCCAGCAGGTGGCAGTGGTGAGACACTCCTGAGTAACACAGTTTGAATACAAGGCAGATACTTGCAGTTGAGGGGATAGAACCCTTTGGTCATCTAGATCCTGTGAGGTCCTGGAGAGGCTTCCGTGCAGTGGAGGTGAGCGGTCCCGATGGGAGGCTGGTGGCTGCAGATCTGGGTAGCTCCTGGGGTGCTGGGCCATGAACCCAATAGTGGAACGCCATCCATGGGTTCATAGGCCACGTTTTATACTGGTGGAACGCGGAAGAGGAGCCTCGCGGCGTGACGTCACTTCCGCGTTCCACCCTGGAACGCATATCGATACGAGGCCAGGGGGAGGAGGCGCCCTGAAACTCCTACGGCCGATGCGTTCCATTCTGGAATGCAGTCGGCTTGTGTATCCGAACCCGGAAGTGTTACACCAGGTCATTAGACTTTCTGAGATATACACTCAAGATATGGTTGCCATCTGTCCGTGTTTGCCAGGCACAGTATCTGGGAAACAAAAGCAACACAGAGCGCCTCCATAGTGTAAAACTTTTATTTGATGAGTACAACACGCAAGTGAAAATGTACTTACACGAAAGCCAATGATCATAAGCGTAAAAGGAAACGATAAAATATAAAATCTCCAGCAGGGGAAGTCTGAGGGGATCTCCAAATCAGCGTCCTCTGCTCCCGTATGTTTTTTAAAAAGGTCTACGCGTTTCAGGGGCACGCCCCCTTCCTCAGAACCTGAGGTGACCTTTTGTTTCCCAGATCGATGGTCGTTGTTGACCGGTGGGAGCTGCCTCTATGGTGTACCAATGAACTTTACAGCCGGATTTCTCTGCAAACCGGGGGCGCCGGTATTGCTTTTTTCAGGCACAGTATCTGTTTTAAGGGATCTGTCCCCAGCACCTAATGTTCCCGGTGATCTCCCCGATGGTAGTGGTGTACCTGGAAGGAATGGGGGTGTTACTGGGTACCGCTACATGGAGAATGCCTCTCAACGTTCCAGCCCTTGGTACCGAAAGAAGCTAGAACTGTCAGCTGAAGTGATCTCCACCCAACAAATGAACTATAGTCCCAGCTTGATTTACAGAGAGAGCTCAGCGTGGGAGCTTATTATCATGTAAGTAAACATTGAACGCCAATGCTGGCAGTTTTTTTTATTATCGCTGTGGGTTATTGCACTTTACTGATTGCTGTTTGCCTTATTTGACAAGGCTGGTAATTTATTTGTGTAGCACCCTACTTATAGGAGTGCTAAATTATATCTATAGTCTATGTTCAGTTCAACTATGACAGAACAATCTGTGAAGCTGTGTCTGCCTGCTGTTGGGTTTGGTACCACACAGGGCAGAACAGCCAATGAGGATTGCTTTGGGCATTTATGTCTCCCAGCCAATCACTGTAGGACAGTAGCAGTGATGCATGCTGGGAGAGGAGATAAATGCTGAAAGCGGCTGATGAAACTCTCTCTTACCTCCCCCAGGGCTCTCCTGGGGGGCAGGGTCCTGCTGATGAGACAGAATGGACTAGGCCTAAGTCTGGGGCCTGGGCCTGGACACTGGGGCCTGAGCCTGGAGGCCCAGTGGTCAGCCACTCATGTCGGAGTTGAATCTGAACAAGACCCTTGACAGTACTGCTTGCCAGAAGTTCTCCACGCAGATTGCCGGTACGGCTTAAAGGTCCAAGTCTGTGTTGGCAGCAGTTACTTTGCTCTATTCCAAGTACTAGGAGTCTTGGAGTCTGGAGTCTGACCCTCTTCCCTCTCTCCCTGGAGTTCAGAAATAAAAGAGAATCATCTTAGAGCTATTGTCTGGACTTCAATCTGTCGGTAACCACTGGAAGTGGCAAGTGCTTTTGGGGCAGCCATGTGTTTTAATAATCCCTTGACAAGCTATTGGAAGACCTGATCATTCAGCGGCTCCTTCGGGGGTGAGCGCTACATTTACCTAGCAAGCTCCTGGCAACCAGTGATGGTCAGAGCAGTGGCCTCACTTCTGCACGCTTGGGCATTGTGCGCGGTAGATTAGATCAGAGGTTATGAAGGTGGGCAGTATATCCAGGAGAGGAATGGGTGGTGGGCAGTGTGAGCAATTAAGAAGTGAGGAAGTTAAAAGGTTTCTAAAGCCTCCGTTTTCCCCCCATATATCTACTGCTAGCAAGCAGTAGATATATGCAAAAAGTTTTTTTAAAAAACCACAAAAAAAAAAACGCTTTAGCAGCGGTTTAAACTTACCCCATCTTCACCGCGCGCTCCTGTCAGAAAATCCGAAACTGCTCGGGCGGCCGCAAAGCATCTTGGGGCGGCGCATGCGCAGTTCGAATTTTCGTCCGGGAGACGAAGAGAGACACAAGGTAAGTCTATGGACGCGTGCACCCGCATGCAGACACCGTGGGACAGGAAGTGCCAGCAAGGACAGCAAGGAGTCAGCGCTGGATCGGAGACCCACCGCGGCGCTGGAGGGACAGATGAAAACTACAGGAAATAAGAAGATCGGATTAAGAGACATCATTTAAGGTAAGTGCTGACATTAACATTGGGGGGAGGGGAATTTTTTTTGGACTTTAATGTCACTTTAAGTGCTTAATTTACCTTTTGGACCATGCTCCAAGTTACATCCATATTCAGGGTGTAACATGAAATATGGTCACATCGTAAACTACTACACTTACACAGGATCTGTGAATTGGATAAACTACAGACTTGTAGTTCTTGACGGAATAGAAGTTGGGGTGAAGTCACTGCATTTGTAGTTGATTAATTCTTCCTCCCCTTCATGTTACTAAATGTCCATATTGAGGTACGGACATGTACAGGAGGAAACGTCTTCAGGAGCCATAGCATTGCTCCTCTTTTCCACTGATAGCAGTTGCAATGCTTTACTGGCTCCAAAGCAAACAAATAATAAATGGATTTTTTCTTGTATGTATTATTTTTTCTTTTTAAAGTGGACGCTGTGGATGGTGGATAGTGCAGAAGAGGAGTGTTGTGGGTATGACGCTGGTTGACGTGTACAGGAGAGGAGTCTCGTGGGGTATGATGCTGGCTGACATGTACAGGAGAGGAGTCTCGTGAGGTATGACGCCGGTTGACCTGTACAGGAGAGGAATGTAGAAGGTATTATGGCAGGCTGTATTTGCAGTAGAGGAGTGTGGAGGGTATTATGGTGGTCTTTACGTTCAGGAGAGAAGGATTGTGTGCACCCTCCCCAAAACATGTCAGCTCAAAAACTCACCAAGGCTGACACATGCTCAGTGCTGATGCCAGTCCCTGGCACCCTGCTGTCTGTAATCGATGCTGCCAAGAAAGACTGGCTGCAGGAGAGCTCAAGGACTAACAGGTTACTGCTAGGTCCCTGAGCTCTCCTGTACAGTGGCGTAACAACCGGGGGTGCGGGGGGGTCACTTGCCCCGGGCGCAGGACTGAGGGGGGGCGCCGTCACGACCCCCGATCAGTCTTCCCTGGCAGGATCGATCACAGACAGCAGGGAGCGGGGACTGGCATCACAATGTGTGCCAACAACTGTGAGTTTTTGAGCTGACTTGTGTTTTTTGGGAGTCAGAAAGGTGGCAGCAAGGCGAATATTGGAGCTGGGGAGCAGAGTTATGTATTTTTGGGACAGGAGCTTGGAGGGATGATGAGAACTGTTGGGGGATTCCTGAGGGTAGCGGGAATGTTAAACTGTCGGAAGGAGGGAGATACCTCATTGGGGCCTTGCTGTCCTGGGGAGGGATGCGGAGCTGCAAGGAGACCAGGATTGGGGAATGGAGGGGAATAAATGGGGGGTATAAGAGGAAGAGAAATTGCCACTGGAGGCAGAATCCCTCTATGGAAAAAAACGAAACTCTGGCTTTAGCATGACCTTCAATATGTGAGTGAAAGTGAACTGCGAAAGTGAAACTCTAAATGAGGTTTTTATATTCTTAAGGAAGGAAGTATTTTATTACTTTCTATCTGTGTTCCTTTGTCCTAAATTAATCTAAGCACCTGCCTATGTTACTTTATGTTCCTTTTGAAAGAGCAATGAAGAAATTCCAGCCCTGTAACAGATATCATGTTATTTTCTACATATACCGTATATACTCGAGTATAAGCCGAGATTTTCAGCCCATTTTTTTGGGTGAAAAGTGCCCCCCTCGGCTTATACTCGAGTCAGCGCCAGCGCGTCTTCTTACTTACCTCGCCGAGCGTCGCGTCACTGCTGCTCGGTGTGCGGCGCTCCGAGCGGGGTCATCTGGCAGTCTCCGGGTCCTAATTTAGGTGGCCGGAGACTGCCAGATGACCCCGCTCGGAGCG